AAACACCTCACAAAGAATGTGAAATTCTTCTTATGAAGCAGCATTGAGATGAACACAATTCGCACGACCTCTCACACAAGTACAACTAACTACCATAGCATCCCCTGCAAGCCCCCAGGACTTTGTTTCGAAGATTTTGGATGATTTCAGAAAACAAACGGCTATCAAAATTTGCGTGCAAACATTGAATGCTGTACGTGACCTCCACGACATTGGATTTCTACACAGGTATGACAACAGTTATGCTACTTCAAGCGAATTTTGTACAGCCGAAAATGGTAAAAAAGTAATCAACCATGATCACCAGGGCGTTGCCGAAGAACTTGAAAATAAAGCGCGAGGTCGCGTAGCGGTCAGCATCGCACAGACGCGCCGTCATAAAATTCCAACAAGATTCATGTTAACAGAGCATAAATTGGACAGCTTAATGCCCGTCTGAGGTTTAGGGTTAAGGGTTTAGGGTTTTCCGAAAAGAATTTCGCAATCAAAAGAACCCACCAGTAAATGCGTTCCCTACAACCTCTTTCATAGACCTAGTCGATCGGTCGATTAAGAACAAACTTCCCTGTGGAGGCAAGCAACTCCCTGCTACTGTTCCGAAATCACTGCATGAAACCCAACTGCAGTCCGTTTAGCGTAAGAATCGCCTTTGGATAATGTGGTTGAATACATTATCAACAGTAAATGTGACCATTTGAAAACTGACCGTTCCGCAAACACACGCGTAATAGCCACATTCTACGGCCACAATTCGTTTAGAGCATGCTCTGTCCATATTTTGCATGCAAGGCGTAATCTGCGCAATTCTAAACGTCAGAATGTAAAAAGAAAGTAATGAAAGCAGTTGCACCTAGGGAAACCATAGGCAATTTTTGAAAAAGGGTTGTTCCAGGGACCTGAAACTCGCCAACTTTGCAATAGGAATCGATCGACCATCACATGAAACCATTTTCATGCTAGATTTTGGCATTGCCAAACGTATCGCTGGAGATGATGGAATCATACCGTACGTTCCAAAATAGTTCAGTAGAGAGGACATTCAATTAAAGGTAGAGAGGACATTCAATTAAAATCTCTTCCAGGGAACCTCGTGAAAAGGTATCATTTATGGGAACAAGGCGGTATGCATCCAGAGCTGCTCATCAAATGAAAGAGCAAGGACGTAAGGATGACGTGGAATCATGGTAAGACATATCGCTCTGTGCAGTTGGCAGCGTATGTCACGACGATGTCATTGTCGAGGCGCGGCGTTAACTGTAAACTCGCCAAGGTGTTATATGGTATTGGACATTTTCGACGAAAAATGTATTCCATGGCGTGAAATCAAGGACAATGACGAATTATTCCGGATGAAGGTGACTGGTTAAGAACGACTTTTACTGCTGCTTTCAAATCATAAATTTTCAGGACGAACTTATGCACAGCCGTGACGACCTGTTCACTGAATGCGATCTCAAACCGGAAAGTCAGGACTTCTCCTGTTGCGCTAAAAAGCCCATTTCCCAGAGTTCCGGGGTTTTTGAGACATGACTCATGTCACAAGGTACGGGTAGGAAATGGAG